TATCCTTATGAGGACTCTGCACTGATTTCCTTTCCTCTTCCCTAACCTTAACCTAAAGGTTAGAAAGCAGGAAGCAAAATGTCCTCACTCTGATGGTGAAACAGGCAAAGCGGTCCTCACTTCAGGAGCAAACACACACAGAGAGAGAAAGGCTTTGGGTTGATGATTCCCAGAAGTGGTCATTATGCTGCTGAAGCAGGCAGAACAATTAAAAGCGTCTCTATCTGCGTCTCTTCTGCTCCGTTTAGCAGCGAGTGACTGACGTTCTCTACAGACTCCATGTTTTCACTCAACCATGAATGTGTGGAGAGAGCCACCTTCTCATCAAGCTGATCCCCTGACGCTCCTTATCACAGGAGCGCAGGCAGCTTGGAAGGAGATAAGACCCCCATTCATGTCTGTGGGAGCCGCCGCCTCCCGTGACACATGTCCTTGTGTATAATCTCTTGTAGAACATGTCCGACTGAGGGAGCGTCAATAGGCTCTTTATAAAGGCGAACTGACACATTAGTCACTCTGGGAACCATTCAACAGGTAGAACTGTTTGCTAACAGGTTGGGCTGCAGGCAGGGCTGGATTTAGGAAATATGGGGCCCTGGGCAAAGACAGGCAGGGCCCCTCTGAATGGAGAAGACATAAAGATCCATTCTACAGATAGAGAAATGAGAATAGAATAGACATCCATGATTTTTTCTAGGTTTTGTCAGGTTTTTCATTTGGATGAAATAATAGCTGCATGAATCATGACAGCAGACAAGATAGAGGAGAGCAGGAGGCGGGGTTACCAATCTACTCGCTCTGGAGAGCAGAGTTCGCTGCTTTTAGATGTTGTCTCCAAAGTCTCCAGTAGCAGAAAAAAGTCTCTAGATTTGGCGCTAGGAGCTTTTTAGAAATCAAAGTGCTAGAGGGGTCTGAAAAGTGGCTAAATATAGCGACTAAAGCGCTAAGTTGGCAACACTGCTCTTTGCATGGTTTGTTTTCAAATGGTTTGCTGCTGTCTGTTTGGACCTTTCTGAACATGTGCAGCAAATGGACTGATCCAATATGGTGGACACTGAAGGGGGGGGGGCTGAGACACACTGAATATTATCAGCGTTCTGATGGCATTTTAGCAAAAGGATCTTTATCAAAAACATAATTAATTTTCACTAATAAGGAAAAGTTGTATTATCCATACATGGAAACACAGTTTAATGGGGCCCCCAGGAATTTGGGGCCCCTGGCATCTGTTTTGCCTAATGGTAAATCCCCCTACGTCCCTTAAATCAAACCTTTCTGCTCTGCAGTAGCACATCTTTTTAACTGGGTTCCATTCAACCTGCCATAGATCAGAAACGCATAGATTTTCTCTATGTGTGGATCATTTATGCTCCAGGTTAAATTAAATCCTGGATCTCTGGATTAGAAAACAGAAATCTTTCCACTCTAACCGGTAAAACATGCAGCGTCTGTCTGTGTCTGCAGTCCAGACAGCAGCGGAGGAGATGGAACAGATGATGCAGAGCGTCTGGGCCGCGCTCAGCACACCTGGACCACATTAAAACAGACCGGGGGTCAACAGGGAGCGCACGGCCTCCTCCAGCTTCTCCACCGTCTCCCACTGTGAGCAGGAGACAGAAAGCCCTGCTGAACATCTGTAAAAGCTGTGGAACATCTGTCCAGCACAAAGCATTCATGCATGAAGGTGCAAATTCAGCATCTTTAAAGGAGCAGAAGGCATCGCTGCACCTGATCCTGTTTGATTCTGATCACCTCGGGATGCTAATGTTAATCATCCTTAGAAATAAAACTGTTGCTCTATCAGGGCTGAACATCAGGAAGGATCCTTGGAGGTGAGCCTCAGTAACCTCCCGATCAGCACCTGCGTCCAGTCGGCCGTTCCTGATGTGGCGTTGATGATAAAGGGTTTTTGCTGCCATACCTGGTGATGCTGCAGCATCTGTTCATGTTTCCTCCTGTGAGGAGGGACGGTGAAAGCCAACCTGAACCACAGCTTTTCTCCTGGAGCTGGGCTCCTCCCTGGGTCGGTCTTCTCCTCTCAGCTGATGAGGAGCAGCGGCCAGCTTCCAGCTGCCGTTTATCAGAGTGGATAGTCGTTGGTTAACATGATCAAGATCATTTAGAAATCAGCAGAAAGGAGGAGAAAGTTTGAACTAAAATGCTGCTGGAGATGGGCCCCAGCAGGGGCCTCTGGGTCACCTCTTCCCTCACCAGGTCTCTCCTTGCCCAGACCGCACGCCCCCCTGATGGATCCTATTTTTTATTGACGCTCCAACGTTTCAGATGCAGAGAAATGTTGTTGAAATGGTCGATCTGAGCTCCTCTTTCCTTCATTCATCTAAATCTGCTTCTCTACCTCCTCCTAAAACCAGTTCATTGTTTTTATGGTAAAACTGCTTCTTTACTGGGTTCCAGTCCTCCAGGGCCCAGATGCTCCAGTTTTCTGGGACCAGTCAGTCTGGAAGCGTTCAGCCTGGAAGGATGACCGTCTCCTTATGACCTGCAGAGCTCCAGCCTGCTCTGATTAAATCCCACATGTGGACATCGAACCTCCTGCAGCAACAGGCTGAGCTGAAGCTCATCAGCTGTGCTTCAGGTTGGCTTGATGATGATCCATCATCCAGTCTACGACACGGAGCCGGGGCCCCACCAGCCAGCGAAGGCCCCTGATGGGTCTGCTGAGGAGCCTCCCTGTTGGACCCAAACCTCCAGAACCATGATGCGTTCAATGAATCTAAATAAATTCACACTTTTATCAGTGATTAATCAAGCGGACAGTCGCCATGGGTTACCGGGGGTTGCTATGGTGACCCCTGGGCAGCTGAAAGGACACCGGCATCAGTAGTTAATAAGGTAGTTAATCCTGACTGTGGAACCAGATGAGGGATGAAGCCTCCATCATCATCTTCATCAACATAGATGTTGGGATGTTAGAAGTTGGATGTTTCCTTAGATTTCTTCCAACTTTCAAACCAGAACATCTGATTGGACCAACCAGATGCTCAGCCGCTCTGCAGCTGCAGCATCACTTTTTAAAAAGGTTCAAATTATTTCATTACATTTTCTTTTTTTCAGTAAAAACTACGAAATCTGATTATTTATTTTTTTGTTTGCTCTTTTGTTTTGTTTTTTTTTTTTTATTAAAAAAAAATTTAAATCATTGATAATGATAATTATGATGCATAAAGAGGAAGATGATGCTTGGCTACTGGATGAAGAATCCTTCCAGGATGAAGATCAGGAGGTTTTAATAATAATAATAATTAATATTATTATTATAATAGGTTCAATTAAAAAAGGTTAAATTCCTTTGAATGAAATTACTAATTATCTACTTAATTTTTTTTCTGAAAATCTTTTTCTGTGTAAATATTTTTAAAACATGCAACAAAAATCTTCCTAATTTCATATAAAATAAGAATCAAACTGTTTTATTTCAGAATGAAATGATGGAATCTTCCGGAACCAATCAGGTCCAATCCGAACTCCTCAGATCAGACTTTAAAACCAGCGGAGCGGGAAATAAGAACCGTTTGGACCAAAGAACCGCTTTCTGGCTCTTTTTCTGAACGGTACCAGCCGGTGAACCTCGGCAGCAGGAGGGCCCCAGAGGGCCCCATGCACCCCCAGAGGGCCCCTGCGCTGGAACCGAACCACTGAGGGGGCGGGAAGTCCAGCGGCTCAGATCCCGGTTCGGTAGAAATGTGCTGGTTCTGACCCGGTTCACTGGTTCTGACCCGGTTCAGTCTGCAGCAGAACTCAGGTCCAGAGAACAGGGCGGAAGCAGGTTGTTTTCTGGCGGGTCAGGCGGAGCTCCGAACCTCTGGACTGAGAGTGGACCGGGTCAGAACCGCTTCAGGGAGAGGAAGAGGATGGAGAGGCAGGAGGAAGGTCAGACTGACCAATGAGGAGGCAGAACTATTATTATTATTATTATTATTCCTGTAATGATATCATTATTATTGTTTATATTATAATTAATATTTTGCTCCCACACTGTTTACATTTTATCACTGCTGCGCTTTAAGAAAATGGAAATGTCTTTTTATAAACTCTGTTCATACAAAATGAAAATAAAAATTATCTAAGTCTTATTATTCTACATAAAAATTATTATTAAATGTTTTTATTATGAACTTAAATGAAGATCTGTTTAATAATAATTAGAATAAATGTGTCTGATAAGAGACACATTTATGGATCAAAAAGGTTTTTTTTTTCTTTAAAGCGTCTCAATTTTAATGGATTTTACTTCATGAATAATAATAATAATAATCAATAATAATAATTATATCAATATTTAAGCGATCAGTCATTTAAGATCCAGTTTGAGCCAAAAATAAATATTTGCTTTTCAGAGAAACAAAATCAACATTTAGAGAAAAAACGGTGAAAATAGAGGAGCGCGAAAAAAAATGAAGCTTCGAGGCCGAACAGGCATGTTACATGTTACATGTAACATGTAATTTCAGACATGTAACATGCGTATCTGATCATCTTTGCTCTCCTTCCTCAGCTGAAATCAAATTTGTATTTAAAGTTGTTTCATTTTAATATATTTATTATTTCTTATCGTTTTTTAATTAGGCTACTTGTTGGAATAAATAATTTTTTTCTGCCTTCAATCTAAAACTATTTGAAACATCAAAACTTTTTATTATTATTACTTTGAGACATTTGGCTTTTATTTCGGTTCATAAAATGTTGATTTGTTGGAGATCAGAGGAAAAGCGGCCGAATTATATTTTATGCATTAAAAAGCATCAGAATATTTTCCATAAATGGGATCAAGAGTTGATCATTTTTATCTGAATTGTTAAAATAAAAAAAAAGCATGAAGCAGAAAGTGAAAAGTTTTCCTGATATTTTTCTCCTGACAGGTTCGGAAGCTGCAGCTCCAATCAAACCACATCCTCCTCTAGAATAAAGAACCATTTAAAATGAGCGGAAGAAAAGTTTCTTCTCTCGCGAGACTTTAATAAATAACAGGCTGGTTCCGATTGTTCCGATTGGTCCAACGTTGGTTTGGATTAAAAGTGTTTTTATTAAATAAAAGTGCTTTACATGAAGCCGCGGCGGGCCGCTCCCACAGGGATGTGTCATTTATCGGACAGCTCATGAGGCGTTCAGGGACAGGCGGAAACAGATGGAAATAAAAGGGCTGGTCTGGGAGCAGCATCTCTGTACAAAACAAGCCGAAAATCAAATGAAATAAAGAAACTACAGATAAATGAATCCTTTTCTATGGATCAGACTGTATTTACAGCTAAAGTCTCCTCGGTGGAAAGGCCAGTCCTCCCTCCGCCTCCAGGAAAACAAGCAGCTTCGCTCCAAAGTGAACCCAATCCATGAGGTCCTGATTCCCTCCGCGGGATTAGGCCTGAGTCCGGATTAAGAGCTGTCGTTTTCAGACGTGTGCATGAGCAGCGCGGAGGCCGGCTTGTGTTTCTTCAGCAGCTGTGTGATCTTCTCGTCGTCAGAGTTCGGGTCCAGAGGTTTGTTGTAGTCCTCGTCCTCCTCCTCGTTGTCCGAAGTGCCTTTGAGCCTCTCGGTCTCTGAGTCCTGCTTCTTCTTGGCTGAGGCCATCTCCGCCGCGTGCTTCTTCCTCCACTTGGTCCTCCGGTTCTGGAACCACACCTGGACACAATCACGCTCACGGTTATGAGGGCCCATCTCTTCACTGATTGGATCAACTATTTAACGAAATATATTTATAAAAATGTCATCTATTCAGTTTTTAAAGTAAAACAATCCATCCTAAAATAAAATCTAGCCATTTTAAATGGGTGATCGGATGCAGGCATGTTTGTGTTGGCTGCAGGGACTGACCTTCACCTGGCTCTCGGTCATCCCCAGAGAGTAGGCCAGCCGCGCTCTCTCCGGTCCGGCCAGATATTTGGTTTGTTCAAAAGTCTTTTCCAGCGCAAAGATCTGCTGTCCGGAGAAAGTGGGCCGAGTGTGCTTCCTTTTCCCATCTTTGTCCAACAGAACCGAGTTCTGATCTGCAACACATTCACCACATTCACCACATTATTACCACAGAATAATATGCTACTAATTATTATTATATAGATATATCTACATCTACCTATCGATCTAAATATGTACTATAAACTATGAGTATTCCTACACTTTTATCATATATATATATATATATATATATATATATATATATAAATATATATATATATATATATATATATATATATAAATATATATATATATATATATATATATATATATATATATATATATATATATATATATATATATATATATATATATATATATATATATATATATATTTTAGCCCATACGGTTTTCATGTCCTTCATTTATACAGTGAGACAAAAATTTATGTAATGTATTTTTTTCTTTAGAACTAAAATAAATTGAGTAAATAAAAAAGTCTATACAGTTTTTTTATTTACTCACTTTATTTTATTTAGTTTAGTATATATATTTATATATATATATATTTATAAATATATATTTATATAAATATATATATATATATATATATATATATATATATATATATATATATATATATATATATATATATCTGAAAGATTATTTTCCCTCACCTTTTTTTATTCTAAATAAAAAAGTCTTTATTTTTATTTACTTATTTATTTATTTACTTACTTTATTTTCTTTCTAAAGAAAAGTTGTTTATATATATTTCCTTCACCTTATTTTCGTTCTAAATAAAAAAGTAAATGACATCACTTTTCTTGTCTCACAGTATAAATAAAGGAAAGAAAAGCTGTTTTGTATAAATATCTATAGAAAAAAATATTTACATGATTTTCTTTATCTTGTCCTTTTAATCACAGTAATGTTAAATAAAATTATTATTATAGCATTGTTTTTGTCAAAGGAAAAAAGCTGTTTATCTGTAAAGTTTTTATTATTTTAAAGATCAAATGTCTGTCCTGTTTTTTGTAATCAAAGTGTTTTAGCAGCAGAAAGACTCACGGGGCGAACAGGCGAACCGGGCGTCCCTCCAGTGCGCTCCCTGCATCACTCCCGGCCAGAAGATCGGCGTCCTCCCCGGGAGCTCCGCCAGAGGTTTCGGGTACCTGCCCACGGCCACAGCCGCGGCGCCGGGGCTGAAGTAAAGCCCGGGAGGCGGCGGCGGGCTGAGGCTGCCGAACCGGGGCAGGCCGGACAGGATCCCCGCTGAAGAGGAGGCCACGGCGGCCGCTACCACCGCCGTGGCCCCGGCAGCGGAGGCGGCGGGCCGGTTCAGGATGTCGTTAATCCCGTGCGGGGTGGCGGAGGAGCACTGCTGCGGGGAGCCCAGGCCCGAAGACAGCCCGGAGGAGGTCTTGATCCCGGGGGAAGACGCGGCCATGCCGCCGGGGTTGGGAGAGATGGTGGCAGGAGAGGTGGAGGAGTTGGGGCAGGTGGAGGAGAGGGGGTAGGCCGGGTACAGGGGGGTCTTCATCTCGGTCATGCTGTGCAGAGCTGCCAGAGGCGGGGTGCTGAGGAGGAAGGCGCTCTGTCGGGACCCGTCCATCTGACCCACCGCTAACATTACCGCTACGGGGGGAGACCCGGAGGATGGGGCGCTCTGCGGGCTCTGCGGGCGCTGCGGGCTCTGCGGGCGCTGCGGGCTCTGCGGGCGGCTGCTCTCCACAATCCAGGCTGAAACTAAAGCGGCTCCTCTCTTGGTGCAACACCCATCCCACTGCGCCTGACTCGCTCCCAGTCCCAGAACGGTCCAGCAAAGAGGGGGGAAAGTTCCGATCCTAGCGGGGGGAGTGTGGGGGGGCCCTGGGCAGGTCCGGCGCGGCGCGCGGAGCCGCTCTGATCCGTCCGGAGGGTTCAGAGGAAACCATGAAAAGTGATCCTCCGCTCAGCATCTCCATCAGCTGCGACACAAACTTTCAGAGCCGAAGGGGGGGGTGGGGGGGCTGTGTTTGGATTGGGTGACCCGGACATGACGCAGTCCGGCCTGAGTCACGGAGCCTCCTGATTGGCTCAGCGGCTGAACGCATTTACATCAAAGAGGGACCGAGAACCGCGGGACATGATGATGATGATGATGATGATGATGATGATGACACTGTGACTGAAAATAAAACTGAAGCTGGAAACTGGAATCTATTCAGTCTATTTCTATAATAAACTATTTGTCTCTAAGGGAAACCAGCTGACCTAATAAACTTAATGTGAACTAAAAATAGAAAATCTACATAAATTAAGATTTACTGTTAATATTTTAATTCGTTATGGAACAAAAAGTAAAACAAACATAAATAAAACTTTCTTTAAACACTGCGCGGTATTTTAAAGCTGTCCTCCCTGTGGTATTTAACCTGAATTTTCACTCTGAGAGACATTAAAATAATTATCTAAAAATAAATAAATAGCTTCCTTATATTTTCCAGTTTGAGATATACATATTATTATTTAATTTATTTATTTCCTGCCTCCTCTGACGCGGTGGGCCTTTATTTGTCCCCCTCAGGCTTCCGTTAAGTTTCTGTTCTGATGCCATTCCCGACCAGCTGTTCCATCAACCAGAAATAAAGAGCGAACTGGGAGGGCTTCTGTCAGAGGGATGCTGCGTCTAACAATTTTTTTAATTCATTATTTACTAATTGAAAAAATAAATAAATAAAGTTTGTGAATAAAAAGAAAAATGCAACGAATAAATGTTTCAGTTCAGATTATGAAATCAGCACGTGCCACCTCAGACAATCCAATCAGAGCATCCGGATTAAAGGCTGGTGGAGCAGAGGCGCTGCCATGGTGACCCATCCCCGCGGACAGACCATAATAACAACAACCAGGGAAATGATTTAATTAAAACAAACAATTCAGTCTAAATCAAACCTGGTTTGGTAGAAAAGATCTAATCTGTTAATCCTAATCTGACCCAGCAGTCAGATTCCCGCTCATCTAATCCATTTTATTTAACCCTAAACACCTCGGTAGCAGTTTGGATCGGAGGAACTAAACTGGAGCTCCTACCTGACCGGAAGTCAGGCTGCATGGATTCTGACATTTTGGAAGAGAGAAAAAAATCTGACAACCCAAAAATTAGACCCATTTTATAATTAAGCTGTAATTTCAGTTTAATAGGCGTTTAATGCGTTTTTTTTTTTTTTCATTTCTTTTTTTTATTCTTAAATATTTCACTGATGGAGTTCAAACTGTTTCGTTTCTTAAAATTAAACATCAGATTAGTTAATCGATTAAACTTTTTTTTATTAATGAGAATCATTTATCCTGTTAAAAGTTAAAAGTGAAACAAAAGTAATTTCCCCCTGGGAGTATTAAAGTATTTCTGATTCTGATTAAATGCTCCTTTTTCAAGTTTTAAATGAAAAAAAGAAAAACAGGATGTTATTTGGCCTTTAAATGCAACCATCAGACCTTTAAATCCTTCCAGCCTTTGGAGGCCTGGAGAAGAATCCTCGTCCTTGATCAGAGGCTGGGATCAGGAAACCTCCACCTGCTGCTGGTGGAGCAGCAGAAACTCCATGCAGCTTAAAAATCCCAGAAAAGGAGGAAACCAAACCAAGAAGCAGGAGCTGCTGAGGCCTCCTGCTCTGGATGAAGACATGAAGCATCAGACTCCATTTCCAGGTCTGTTCCCAGGATGCAGCAGAACCTGACCCCCAGATTAATTCACTTTAAACTCAGTTCCAAACTTTACATGAAGATATAAAGCTGGTTTCTATGGAGACCGGTTGATCTGTTCCTAAAACGCAGCTGAAAGCAGTTCAGCACTGAGGATGGAACAGTTCCTGTTTACTATCTAAGGTGCAGGTGGATTTTCTCTGATCCACTGGCGCCCCCGCGTGGACAGCAGCAGTAACAGCAGCCAGGGCAGAATTTACAGTAGCGATAAAACGATTAATTATTGAAATATTAAAATAATTCAGAAATTTATTAATCATTACCTGGAGTATAAAGCTCTAAAACATTCCCTTAGCTGAAAGAGCGACCTTAGAGCAGAAATTACACCAAGATTGTAAAAATTATATACATGTAAACATTTTCATCTGTGAATCTGAATCAGAACTCCTCAAATTGAGAAGGTTCACCTGCTCATCGCTATTTATTCCCTGGATTAATGATCGTTGGTAGTAGGGGTGGAAGTGAAGCCATAGGCCGCCATATTGGTACTCCCTAGTTAGACTAGTTTCAATGTATACAGCCAGTGCTACAGCATCAAACGACGATGTTCTCATTTTCAGGGAGACTTAAAATAAAGATAAATGTATCACTTTGACACAGACTGGCTGTTTCACAGCATTAGTAAATTAACTTTGACTTAGAATAAAAAAAAATAGGAACATCACATTGAATAGTCATTATGAAGTCAATGAAGTCTATAAATCATGTAATATAACATATTATAAAATCCATCACAATAACATTAATGTGTTAATGGAGCAGAATGATACAGATGAGCCAAAAGAGCTCAATTGGTTTTCATGTAACATACATGGATTTATTACATTGTTATGGGAATTACATATTATAATTTTAATAGTTAACATAAAGACTGAATGGAGTCCATGTCTGTTTTAATGCTTTAGTATTTTCCAGTTTGCAGATTGTGCATGAATGATGCCATGCACGCTCTGTCTGTGCATTAGCCTTCAAATCGAACACATTTACAATAAAACTAAATTAATGAACCAATAACTCCACAGAGGTTCAGTTTGTAACCTTGTAAAATCACATCACCTGGTAAAATAACAGGAAACATCATATTTAGCTTTTTGCTTTTAGTTAAACCAGAATCTGATCGTTTGCATCTAAGCCTGCTGTTCATACAGTCTCTGTGACACACTGACACTGTGGAACGACCAGTGGAACGTCTTCCCACAGCCAGATAACTGCTGGGCTCTGCTGCACAGGGAGTAGGGAGTACCAACATGGCGGACGGTGGCTTCACTTTGTTCAGGGAATAAATAGAGATCAGAGAGTTTCACCTGGTTTGATTTAAAGTCTTCCTATGGGAACATGTTGCTATCAGATAGTGAGGGTCATGTGACCGATCCACAGGTGATTCTGAATCACTAACCTGGCTTTAAATTCCTGTCAACATGATGCATCTGCTGAATAATGCCTCAGCTTTTGCAGTTTATCATTAAAATGATCCAGAACGTTGGAGCCTAAAAGGAATAGAAACGTTTCAGCCGTTTTTATTTTCATTTTCTCATTGTCATCCTTTTCCTCTCAGTTACTCAACCCATCTGATATAAAGTTCATTTCAAATTTTATATAAAATCCTAGTCACCTAGCATCCTTATTTTCCCCTAAATGTTAACCTTGTATTTACATTATTTATTGGCTGCATCTAAAAATATTAAAGATAATTTCAATTCTAATGTAGATATGAAATAATAGAACATAACCTACAATAACTTAAGTAAAATGGTACTAGGGTATGAGTAGATAGATTGGTAACCCCGCCTCCTGCTCTCCTCTATCTTGTCTGCTGTCATGATTCATGCAGCTATTATTTCATCCAAATGAAAAATGGAGAACAGATAAGCAGATCATGGCTTGTCTACAGTGAAAAGAAGGACTGGGTTATTTACTTTGGCCTTTTTGGAAACACAGGAAGGAGCAATCAGCTAAGTGAGCTTAGTGCTTGGAAAAAATCTTTCATTCCTTTAGAGACAGCATGAAAAGTCAGCTGAGTACAAAACATAGAGAGGAAAACAAGAAGAAAAGGGACAAGAAGAGAGGGACACAACCTAGAACAGATAATGGATGTCCATTCTATTAACATTTCTCTATCTTAGAGGGCCCCCTGCCTGTGCTTGCCTAGGGCCCCATATTTCTTAAATCCCCCCTGGTACTGGGTCAAATTGAGTTTATTCTGTCCAATCAGCTGCCTGTAGTTTATTTAAATGTCCAGCAGGTGTCAGTATTCTGTGAGAGCATCAATAGTTTGGCAATGTGTGGGAACGATTTAAGATGCCTCATAAACCAAATATCATCTGATTATTAATCCTAAATAATCAGATTGATATTTAATCATTCATTTTATTCCATCCAGATCAGTTTTTTCCTTCAGTCCAGACGGACGGAGGGTTTCCAGACCCTTGAAACAGTTCAATGAGGTGGGCTTTTTATTTGTAGTTTCAGATCCCTGGTTCGAACAGAATGAGCAAATGTTTGTCAGTTGTCCAGTAAAACAGTGATGCAGGATGTAGCGCTGCTCCTGCAGCATCCTGACCAACGAGTCTTTATTCACAGATAGAAACAGGAAGCTCTGCTACCAGGAGGGAAATAAAAACACCAGAGTTTGGACTGAGAATACAGATCTTTATTAGAAGTTACTCGCGCGCCATCAGCTTCTGCTTCTTCAGCTTCTTCTGTGAGACCTGCGGACAGAGAGTCAGTCTGGGTTATCGGGGTCCGACGTGGCGGCAGCGGCGGCCGGCTTCGCCGACAGGCTGCTCAGAAGTTAACGGTTTGTTTTCATGGAGAATCCAAAGGTGTCCTAAGTGGTCGTCATGGCAACCGTAGATCCCAACAGACCGCCCCCGTCCAGAAGCTTACCTTTTTCTTCTGGGCCACCTCCTCCTCTGGCTTGGGGACGATCTGCTCCTTCTCAGTGAGGATCATCTCGATGTGGCACGGCGAGCTCATGTAGGGGTTGATGCGGCCGTGGGCGCGGTACGTACGCCGCCGCATCTTAGGCGCCTTGTTCACCTGGATGTGTTCGATGACCAGAGAGTCCACATCCAAACCCTGAGAAACAAACCGGAGAAGAAGCGTCACATCAAACTAGGAATAACCAACCTCTTACTGCACACTGCCAGTCAGCTGGATTACGAAGGCTCTCATTATCTCTCTGGAAACAGTTTATAAAAAAAATTGACCAACAGACGACACCTTTTCCTCCTCTGGGTTCACTGATAAAATAAAAACAGTTTTTTTCTTTTAGCTCCATCAGGCAGTAAAGAGGAATCTGATTAAAAACAAGACCGGCGGTTCAGGACGCCTCGAACCCATCAGACGATCTGCCAAAGGATCCAATGAAGCAATAATCCAGTTTAAGGACATGAATAGAATAACCCTTTATTGTCCCACCATGGGGGGGATAAAGGAATGAGAGGAAAACTGCAGGGAGGAGGTGAAAAGCTGCAGGTTTGGTTCTCCTCACTAAGCTGAACAACATTTCCTAAACTCTGACTCCAACCAGATATCAAACCCAACAGGAAGTGCTTTTATTGTGACATTCCCAGCAGGAAGTGTCCTTGGACCGAGCAGACAGCCCATCGCTACCCGTCCTGCTCATGCACCATCAGCACACCCAGATATACATCCGGGTCGCCTTCAGTTTTATTGTTAAAAAGACCCAAAATAAAATTTTCCCTCCCCAGAAACAGCAAGCGTACCAAAGTACGATCAGTTAAAGGTTAATGTATTTCCTGAGAAGATAAAAGCATCTTTTCCCGATGTGTACAGGGAATGGGATGCTACGCTACTTCCACCAGCTAACTTTATCAGCTCTGGATTTAAACATAAATCTTGTCTTTGAGTTTAATGTTTTCCTTTCCTGCTAACATTATGCTATAAAGTGCGTAATCTAAAGAAACAAACAACTAAAATGCAGATAAACGCGGTTTAATCAGATTTTACTGGACTGATCTGAGCACGTCCCATGACGTCAGAGAAGCTGTTTAAAGGAGAAAATGTAAAAAGCATCAAAACCGTTTTCTTTAAAGATGTGTATTAGCATTCTTTAGCGAGTTAAGGAGAGTAACAATATTAATTTTAGAACCATAACTAGATTATTTCTGTACATCTGGATGTATATCTGTGCTTCTGGGACGGATCAGGTCGAGACACTAGCTAGCAGGTATTTCCATCCCAGTGATCCCATCACCATGGCTCCTCTAGGAGCTTCTGTTCAGTTTCTAATCAATCCAGGATTAAATAAAACATCTAAAAGTTTAAAACGTTGCCATTTCCATCAGAACCTGACAGACCCGATCACAAAGCGGGTCACTGATCCTCTGCAGAACCAACCGGTCCACAAGTCATAAACTCTAGATTGTTGTTGACTGAGGACCGAATCTCTGCTGGCTCAGATGCTTCCAGCAGCATCAGGTGGTTCCTGCGCTGCATCCTCCTGATCTCAGCAGCGTTTCCTCATCAAGTTCATTTCCTGAAAATTCCTACTGGATCAGAACCTCCAGTCCTCTAAGCTCGAGATCCGACACCCAAACAATCAGAGGTTCTACTGTGAACCCCCCCATACAGAGGCAGAACCATTCCGGGTCCTGAGGACTGACCTTCAGCTCAGCGTTGCTCTCTGCGTTCTTCAGCATGTGCAGCAGGAACTCGGCGCTCTTCTTGGGCCAGCGCCCCTGGGTCCAGCCGAACTGTTTGGCCTGTGAAGGACAGAGCGGTCAGAGACACGGCGGTTCTGTTTGGACAGAGAGCGCGCAGCCCGGCGCCGCTCAGATTAACAGTTTGGTTTCATCATTGATCCAAAGGTGTCCTAAGATGGTCATCAGCGCGGCTTCTGGGCCTTGGAATGGACGCGGTTCTGATGCTTACCTGCGCACAGCGTCCGACGCCGCCGTTGTAGCGGCGGAAGGGGACGCACTGGTGCTTGACGACGACATCCCTCAGGTACTTGTTGGCTTTGCGGATGTGCATGCCTTTGATGGCCTGGGCCGTCTCACGTGTGTTCTGGTCAGAAAGAAACAAATCACAACATCAGCCGGGTCCAATTCATGAGACATTAAATGAAACCCAAAACATGCAGAACCTTCACAGATGGCTCTACCGGACCGGATCCCAGAACTACAGAACCAACCCATAACATTTACTTCACCAAAAAAACTACCGTTTCCTTTGTGTTGGAATAAACACTCGAGCTGCCAGTTTTGCTGGCTGCAGAGGAGGGATCACACTTAATGGTGAAAACACTCAAAGAGGAGCCGATAAAAACATTTGGAGACAAATATTTAGCGTTCCTAAAGCGACTTTCAGCTCCCGCTTTACGATCTCTAACAGATCATTAGTGGAAAGCCAAACGGCAACGATTCAACTTTACAGCAGAAATATTCTAAAGAAAATCCAAACTCAGAACTAAAATTTCATTGTTTTGTTTGGTTTTTGTTTTCATCACTTAAAAAAACCACTAACTCCTACTAGAGCGCTCCAAAACTGCACTTTCCTTCCCTACGGCAGCCTAATGAGGCCAAACTCACGTTTAAAGCATTTTCACCATCAAAGCTTACAGGCTGGATTACAGATATAGATGTTCTAGATCTATATCTGCAATGATCCAACTGTACAGCCATGAGGTGCAGGAAGAGGCCTTAGGAGCTGGAGGAAAGTCTTACCTTGAAGTGGACCCGCAGGTTGGAGCCCCTCGCCTTGCATGCTGCAATGAGAAGCAGAAGGTGAGATGATGATGATGATGGTCCAGCTGCTGATTAGCTGATTCCTTCTCTCAGCAGCTCAGGCTTTACTTTAATTTGGTTTCAAGTTTATATCAAAGGTGTCCTAAGAGTCATCACAGCCACCGAACCGGGCCCAGAACCCGGACCAGCTGGAAGCTTTACTTACATTTGGTGGGGTTTTCCGGGTCTAGAGAGTAGCGGACCATTTTCAGATACCTGCAACAACAAACATGTTCAGCTTTAATGGAGCTCACCGGCTACAGGCTCAGGTTAGCTATTAGCAACTGTTTCTGAAAAAAAAAAAACACACACCCAGTTCTACCTTAAACAAGAAGAAAGCGGCTACTTGGAAGCTTTAATGCTTTCCTTCTAGGTTTCTATCATCACATGCAGCCAACATGGCGGAAAGAAACCTATCCCGGCGTCCTCTCAAATATATACATAAAATCCTCCATCTACGCCTTTCAGATCAGATATATAGCCTCGTCCGATCTGTACATCATCAATACATAACATAGAGCTGATTAAAAGACGCGATGGGTCAGTTTAGAGGAAGATTAGAGACAGATTGTACTCTCTGAGCGAACAGTTCAGGTCCTTACCTCTGAGGCCGCAGTAGGAAGAGGAAGTGACGCAGCTGTGCGCCTCTTCTTCAGTACCGCCTGAGCACAGCGCCCCCTGCCCGGAGGAGGCGGCACTGATCGAGGATTTATATACATTATTTTCTCCATTTAAATTTAGAACAGAATAGAATAGAATAGAATAGAATAGAATAGAATAGAATAGAATAGAATAGAATAGAATAGAATAGAACATGCCTTTATTGTCTCATAATGGGGAAATCACGCTGTTTACAGCAGCAAAAATATTATAGATTAAAAGGTCACACAAATATGGACCTTAGAAAAATGTATAAGAATAACATAATAGTGAAGAGTTAAAAAGATAAACAATAAAATGCTGTAAAGTGTTTTAACCATATAAAACTGCACCTGGAGAATAAACAACCCACATACAGCTATGGACATTTTTACACTAAGTTAAGTTAGTCCTCATGTGGCCCTTATTCCCACATTGGGAATTAGTGATCTTTAATTGTTTCATTTTATTGAAGCATATATATATATATATATATATATATATATATATATATATATATATATATATATATATATATATATATATATATATATATATATATATATATATATATATATATATATATATTCACCTTGTCCCAGTCTTTAGGTATTAATGATTTGTTTCTTCCTCTCAGCCATCCGTTTCTTCAGTTGTTGCGCTTTAATATTTCACATGGGCGGTTCTAGACAGGGGCCAATGGGGGCCAGACCCCCTGTAGATCATGTCCTGGCCCCTGTTATGGCCACTGTACTAAAGACATAATACTCAAAGTAATTCTAATGATGATCTGCGCTAGAACTGATATGGTTACAAATAGGTCCTTTGGATCTATTTCGTTTTTTTTCTTCATCAATACTTTTGACTGAGAATGGGGCTCATAAAAAATGAACAAAGAGTAAACGAGTCAAAAAGGATTTGGAAACACTGATCTAATCAAATCAAAGGGTTCTTTATTCTCTTCCTCTGATACCGAGAAGTTCTGAAATGTGTCTGATCAGAGATTCAGTTCTCCAAAGTTTGATTCTTTTATCAGGCATTGAATTATCAGGCTCCTCTCCTGTGGAACCAACTACCAGTTTTAGTCCGTGAGGCAGACACCCTGTCTACTTTTAAGGCTAGGCTTAAAACTTTCCTTTTTGATAAAGCTTCTAGTTAGAGTGGCTCAGGTTATCCTGATCTATCTCTATAGTTCTGCTGCTGTAGGCTTAGACTGCTGGAGGACATAGGGACCCCTTTTTATCATTCTGTTTCTTCTGTAAAAGTAAAAAAAAATATCCACTGGACTTGGTTTCCAAGATTGGAAGACGTTTCGCCGCCTCTCCAGGAAGCTTTCTCAATTCATTTGAATTGAATCTCTGGATGTTTCCACTGGTGGGTTTCTGTGGACTGCTCTGGATCATTGTCTGTTTTTCCCTCCAGATATTAATTTATCAATTCTCTGCAGTATTATGCATCATTACAACCTCTGGAATAAATGCAGTAAAGTTGGCATTTTTACAGCTTCTAGTCCACAGTGGGACAGTTGCTCCAAACTGCCTAAATCTGTCACAGCAACCAGACAATAGTCTCACAGTCTTCTTGAAAAAGAAAGCGAATTCTATGATATCAAGTATTGAATATTTCATTTATTTCAGTAATAGATCTGACTTTAAAATCATGTTTTTTAGCTCATTTCATTCTAAACCCAGATCCATGTCAGTAAGGAGTCAGTAACAGAGCAGACTGAGCAGCACCAGTTAAAGCCAGTATGGATTTATTTGGTGATCATGTTGAAACCAGCTACATAGAAAACCCTGTGTGCTCCCATAGATTCATGCACAGCATTACACTGTAAATACGCTACAGCTGGACACCGTGTGTCTACGTAGAAAAATAAAGATATTATTTACAGGACAGAAAACAGACTTTAGTTCAAAAAGTTCTTTAGGGCGAGGAAACACCCAGCGCTCATCCTTCCACAGCACAGGCCGTGTTCTGGACGCAGCCAGAGGAGGCAGTGGAGAAACAACCGGATCTGAGCACCAGCGGCCTCCTGGGACCTCCAGCAGTCTGGATCCCCAGAGGTCTGCACCCCATGGTGTTCAGGAAGCTTCCAGGTTTATGCTGTGAATCTTTCTGGATCTCTGTTCAGCTCTGAGTTCTGATCCTGGTTCCTTCAGCTGGATGATCCACCGGTTTAGGAGGAGCTTAGAAAACGAGGCCCATTATTCAGAATAAATTTGACTTTTAAAAATCAGACATGAAATATTTTCATTAAGCCTGAATTTCTGTATCAAAATGCTTTAAATTGGTCTGAAGTGATATTCTGATTTTGAACGTTTAACAGAAATGAAACTTTGCAGACATCAGCCTGAATAATGAATCAAATTCAAATCATCGTTTTTAAATTAAACAGTTTGCATCTTTGACTCATTTGTATGATTAATGAATTAATTATTGATAAACGGGACATTTGGAGCGGATCCGGTGACCCAGAGCAACATCTCCTTCAATGCGTCCATTAAACATCCGATCCCTGCAGGAAACCCAGACTCACCAACTGGTAACGTGGAAAATAAAGATCAAGGGTACAAAGTTCCTGAAAAAAGTTCAGTTCCAGCTGAAACATCTACAGGGTTCTGTACGGTTCTGTAACCCAGAACCTCTAATTAAGCTGTGCAGATCGTTAGCAGACTGATTGATGCTCTGAGCTCTTTTTCCAATGAACGTCCATTTAGAACCTGGAGCTGCGGCGGGCCCGATCCACAGGAGACCTGGATGGAGAGTGGAGCTCATCTCGCTCCACATCCATCCATCAACATGGCTGACATGTCAGGACTGCAGACGGATGTTTGGCCCAAGCACTAAATCAGGAATCGCCTCTGAACTTTGGGCTTTGTGGTGCATCTCCACCATAGAAGCAGAACCAGGCCTCCTTCCCGGAGGAAGCAGGATCAACCAGTGCAGCAGATCAGTGAGTGCTGAGCTAAATATCACAGCATCATGAGGAACTTCCCACTTCTTTAGAAAATCAGCATAATGAGAACGTTCTGCTCATAAGCATTTAATAGAACCTCACCTCAAAGGTTCTTCAAGAACCAGCTGAAGGTGGTCAGAACACTGATCTCTATTCATTCATTGTTTTGCTAGTAGCCCGAAAACAAAGCGAAGCCACCGGCCGCCATATCGGTACTCCCCGCTCCCATGGAGCCGCACAGTGAAAATGCCTCCCTGCAGCATTTTGGCTGCAGAAACCAGCAGTTTTCTGGCTGCAGGAAGACGTTCCACTGGTAATTTCCCAGTCAGTGGATGAACTAAGCAATAAATCCATCTATAGCCGATGGATCCTATAGTTTAGTCTGCAGACTAACATTAGGCTGGCTATCTCTGACTGACTGGAAGACATTGACTGAGTTAGACACTGACATTGGGTCTAAGGTTAGAAAATAGGAAGTAGAGGAAATAGAAAGTCATTCACTGAAATGTTAATGTATTAACTCTTTATTCAGTGGATGATGCTGTAGTTTTTATAGAGTTTGTTGTATTTCTCATTTGAAAAAGTCATGAAATATATTGCAGGTTATACTGATGGAGAAAAAGCAACGGAAACATTTCTAAAGGCTGATGCAGAGATGGAATCATTCATGCACAATCTGCAAATAGGAAAACACTAAAGCATTAACAGACATGAACTTCATTCAGTCTTTATGTTAATCTTAAAATCAAAAAATGTAATTACCATAAAAATGTAGTAAATCCATGTATGTTACATGAACATTTAGCTCTTTTGGCTCATCTGTATTATTCTGCTCCATTAACACATTCATTTTATTGTGATGGTTTGTATAATATGTTATATTAATGATTTATAGACTTCATTGACGTCATAATGACTATTTAATTTGATGAGCCTCTTTGTTTATCATAAGTTAAAGTTAATCCACTGATGTTATGAAACAGCCAGTCTGTCAAAAGTGATTAATTTATCTTTATTTTAAGAATCTTAAGCCCCCCTAAAAATTAGAACATCATCATTGTTTGATGCTGTAGCACTGATTGTTTAAATTGAGACTGGTCTATCTAGGGAGTACCAATATGGCGGCCGGTGGCTTCACTTCAACCCCGTAGTACCAACGATTAGGGAATAAATAGAGATCAGTGGTTCAGATCTGACAGTCTTCTCTCCTGTTTACATGAAAGCTTTCTGATCTTTGGCTCCACCTGCTGGCCTGGAATCTAAAATGACATTTAGAAACCAGTTCCAAACCACGGGGATCCAGGGGTCTGCACTGAACAGAACCACGGAGCTGCAGCCCCACTACATGGGGGGCTCGGTCAGGGCTTCCCAGGGCTTAAATGAGCAGAGCGATGAACCAGAACCCTGGAGAACAGACTGGGTTTCCTCCCGCAGTCAGTGGTGGGTTTGGATGCTACAGAAGGCTGATTTGTTTCTGCTGGGCAGCTCCTCACAGTCTGCACCGCCGCGACGCAGAGAGAGACCTGCAACACAGGAGGACATCCAGCTGAGAACAGAAACGTGGAGCACAGCTCATCCCACATCAAACACTGATCTAAAAGAAAAAAACAATAGTTGGAACTGATGGGTTGCTCAGTGGCACAGTGGGCAGCACTGCTGCCCTGCAGCAAGAAGGTTTCAGGTTCGATTCCTGGCCTTTCTGCATGCAGTTCTCCCTGAGCATGCATGGGTTCTCTCCGGGTACTCGGGCTTCCTCCCACAGTCCAGAAACATGAATGTTAGGTTAATTGGCTTCTCTAAATTCTCCTTATGTGTGAGTGAACGGTTGTTTGTCTCTGTGTTGCCCTGCGATGGACTTCAGGGTGGACCCGCCTCTGGCTCATTTATAGCTCGAACCCTTGGGTTGACTGAAAATGAATGGATGGAACAGATGGAACATCTCAGAGAGCGATCAGAGGGGAGAAATAAAAAAAACCTAACGGTGGATGGTGGCCCTTTCAGGTTGTGCAGCTGAACTCGCCCGTTTCCTTTACTTTTTGCACTGACCTTGTTTATTATCAGACACCAGTAGAGAGTCAAAGAACCAATCTAGTGAACATTGATGGATAATCAGGCAAAGTTAGCAGTCAGTGGGGAAAAAAGGATTTCTGCATCATGTAGCTAAGCTAGCTAGTCTCAGCTTCACCTTTAAGCCTCAATAGTCGGTTCCTTCTACCTCCGCCTCAGTTCAACCATCTAAATTACTGAGTTATACCAGCTGCCCGCCCGCCTGATAGGAACCAGCCAATCAGGTAGCAGCATGGCTGCCAGTAATACCTAAATGTCTTATTAACCTTTTAATATCCACCTCATTTTCGAAAATTCTCGCCTATTGCATATCTAAATGAAAAAGCAAATAACTGAGGAACTATAACCCCAAATGACATGTGTGACACATTAGTTGAAAGTTAACACCTTCTAGTTTTTGAATATATACATGAAAATTGGGTGAGTAAAACATGGTCCAAGCTGCATCAGTTCAAACATGACTCAAAGTTGGTTTTATTCTCAAAAATAACAGGTCTTTTTTGATCAGCAGTAATAAAGACCTGCTTGCTTGTTGTGGCTGCTTTGTTTACATTCTGACATGCTGCTATATCTGTGTTAATTGTGCTTTGGTGATCGCTGTGTCCATAAACTGAACTAGGTGGTTAAATTGTGGAGAATCTAAGCTTTCTAACAATGTCTATATTGGTAAAAATTTTATAGTGTAATTTTCATGCATTCTGAGCAATTATTTGTAAATGCTTTAAAACGGTGAGTTTGAGAGGTTAAAATCAAGGCCGCCTTCAACTGCGCTGACTTTCACAGCTCATCAGCTGCTCCTCAGTCAGTGAGGGAGCTCTAAGGCTCACTAAGGGACCTCTAAGGTTCTGGAGTCCCTGTAATGTTCTGGAGGTCCAGTAATAATCTGTCACCCCCCCCTGCAGCTGGCATGCATCCAGGGGACTCTGGTTTCATTGGTTGTCATTTGGCCCACAGAAAGAACAGTCAGTGACTCTATGTGAGATCGAACTACTATCGAAAAGATTTAAGGCTAGGCTTAAAAGTTTCCTTTTTGATAAAGCTTCTAGTTAGAGTGGCTCAGGTTATCCTGATCTATCTCTATAGTTATGCTGCTATAGGCTTAGACTGCTGGAGGACATAGGGACCCCTTTTTCATCATTCTGCTTCATTCTATCTCTATTCTCCCACTCTGCAGAATCTGTTAGTTCAATCTCTAACCTTCTGCTCTCTCTGCTTTTTCTCATAGTAGCTTCATCTGGTCTGTTCCTGTTTGGCTGTGACTCCATCCTGGAGAGAAATATCAGCTGTGCTGCTGCCATCAACACCTTTGTTTTTAGATGTTGGAGCTTGGCCTGTTTTCCAGTGTAGTCCTGTTTCTCTGACTGTGACTAACTGGATGTGCTCTCTTCATCCTCTGACATGGGAGCTGGCTCGGAGCTCGTCTGCCTGGCTGTGTGTTTCCTGGACGGGGCCGCCTGTGGAGCTGGTTGACAGTTGCCTTTTGTATCTATGCTTCTTTTTCTATGTCTGCTTCTGTCTCCTTGAACCCCAGTCGGCCTCAGCAGATGGCCGCTCACACTGAGCCTGGTTCTGCTGGAGGTTTCTTCCCGTGCAAAGGGAGTTTTTCCTCTCCACTGTCGCTACAAGCATGCTTAGTGTGAGGGATTGCTGAAGAGTCAATGAGTCGATGCAATCAGCTGGTTTTCCTTAGATAGAAAACTTTGAATCAATCTGACTTCAGATGACATGATGTGAATTGGAGCTATAGAAATAAACTGAATAGAATTACCTGGATGAGCTCCCAGTTCAAGCAACAGGTGGGGGAGCGGCAGAAGGTGGATGGCAGAAGAGTTGGGGGGGTCTCCAGTGGCGCAGTGAGACAAGAAGCAGGCAGAGTGGGAGACGTCAGGCCGGGGGGGGAGGGGGCGGAGTCACTTGGGGCTTGTAGCTGTGGGAGTGGGGGGGTAAACCAGAGCCACGTCGACCCGCTCTGAGCCGTTCTTTGGACAGATGATCTCAGTCAGATCCTGGGGCCGTGGCTGGCTCAGCAGCTCACCTGGAAAAATGACGACAGCACAGGTCAGAGCCCAGTTTACCCAGTATAACCAGTACACCACAGCATTTCCATTCAGGTCATCTAAATCCAGCTAAATGCCATAAACTGTATGGAGGACCAATCCTGCCATAATTAAAAATAAATATAGAAATAAATAAATGCTCCAAAAATAAATAAGCATACAATTCTCTGCCCCCAAAAATACAATAAACAAATAAATGTAGGTAGAAATCAAATTAACATTGAGACATAAATATTTATATCTCTTTTAATTATCGTCTGTGTGTATTTGGCTGTGTAATAATTACATTATTTATTGTCCGTTATATTCTTCAACTTTATTTATTACTTATTTCTTTAAGTATTCATTTATATGCATCTTATAATATTTTTGTCTGGTTTATTCTTCCTTTGTATTTTTTACCTCTTTATTTCTTCCATGCGTTTTATTTCTGCCGTCGTTTTTTCATTTCTGTCTGCATTTCTGCCTCATTATGCAAATGAGGAGGGGCGTGTCTTAGAGGGTCACCTTCTGCCCATTGGTTGGTTAGCAGCAGGCGGCCACAGTCACAACAAACATGGCTACCTACGAGAAGCTGTCTTAGTTAGCTGAGACATTTAGCAACTGTTTTTGAAAACAATGCTAACATTAAAAGTATTGACTTTATTATTTTTCGTTTGGACTAGGGGGACCAGATTTGGGTTTGGGACTTTATTTGTTTATTGTTTATTTTTGGAGCATTTATTTATTTGGGTATTTATTTTTAATTATGGCAGGATTGGTCCTCCATAAAACCGGGGGGCTCGAGGTTACATCTCGATTTGGGTCATTCTGGCAGTGCTGGATTTCCTCCACTAGATGGCGGCAGAGTGAAGGTCAGTCAGCATGCTGCTGAACCGGTGTTATAATCTGGCAGGTTTAGGTTTGAATTCAGTAAGGTTAGCAGACTGGTGAGGAGACTCTGTCACAGCAGCAGCTACAGTCACAATATATGCGGGGTCACTAGTGTTGTCATAACACCGGGACCGAATGGCTCAGCTCTGATATTCTCTGCTTTTTCAGATGCTGTTCAATTCAATCCACTTGATTTATATAACACATTTAGCAACAAAAATTGCTTCCAATGTGCTGTAACTAACGACAAACCTAACCCAAAACACACACACAAAAAAGTACTAAATAAATAAACAAAAAGGACACAGAGGACCAGACAATCACACGGTGTTAAAAACCAAAGAATAATAGTGGGTCTTAGGACCTCATAGCGGCCCTCAGACCTCAGAGCGCGAGCCGGACAGTAAATCTGGAGACGGTCGGTAATGTATGGAGGAGCCATCCCATTCAAAGCTCTAAACACAAACAATAAAATATTTAAATCAATTCTAAAACCAACAGGGAGCCAATGCAGAGACGCAAGTCTTGGTGTAATGTGTTGATGCTTTTTGTTATAAGATGAACCGCTGAAATTTGGACTGACTGCAGACGGGAGAGAGCTCGTTAGCTAAAGGGCAGTGTGTTGCAGTTAGCTTGTCGCAGGTATGACACAGATATTTTTGTTTTATGCCCAATATTAAGCATGGTCTGCACTATATTATTCCACGCCACAACGCAAGAGGGACAACCAGGAACTAGCTAGGATTGTGGGTTGGTTTGACGAGCTTGTTCGCCTTCTACAACCCGTCATCCAACGCCGGACGACACACAGTTCACCTGTGAGTGTTCCCCAAAGACTGGCCGTGGCGCTGCTCGTTTTGGCTTTGGGCGCAAACCAACAGGCTGTCGCTCAGACCTAAAAACTAGCGTCCTGCACGGTGTCTTGGATAGTGTCCGAGGTGTTCCAGGCGCTGTGGCACTACAGCCAGAGTTTCTACCATTAGGTACCAAACAGGAAATACGCATAGTGTAGAGCGGATGTAGATTTGACCAATCAGAGGCCTCCTGTCTGCGGTCACCTACAATATGGGAGAGGTGCAGCAGAGTGTCTGCGGATGGGGGACCTGGTTTCTGAGGATAAACCGGGCTTAATGCTTGGATAAAGGGCACTGCAGTCGTCCAGACGCCTAGAGATAAAAGAGTAAAACCTGCTGAAAGAGGTTAAAAGATCAAATCAGTTTTACTTTAGATAAAAGACGAAATAATAAAAACTGTTGGTGGACAAGGATGGAGGAAAATTTAGTACAGAAAACAAACAAGTAAATCATATTTAGGGTTATTCTTGGCTTTAGGAGCAACACGTCAAGCAGTGAAACACCACAGAGAATAAAACAGCCGCAGTGGTTACAGCGTCTCTGCCTGCCTGCCTGCCAGTCTTTACTCAGGGCGCCGATCATAGCAGTGCCAGCCAGTGTTTCCGCCTTGGACTATTTTTACCCCCCCCCCCACCATCACACATTATGAAAACAACTAGCTGTGGTCTGAGGGATCAACAAAGATCAGCTCAATGTTCCTGACCCCACTGTAACCCCCCCCTTTAATCAGGCCTAAAGCAGATTAATGTGAAGCAGAATAATATCCTTACAGCTTCTCTCTCAGATATGAAAAATGAAGGCACCTTCTCCCCCTGAGCGGGGAATCTTCTGGATGGACCGTGAACGTCAGCTGCACTACAGAGCAGAAGCATACAGGTGTTTGTCCTGACAGATCTCAGATTCCTGAGAACCGCCGTTTGTTGTGAAAACAGAAAAGCAGTTTGGATTGAGGCGAGTGTGAAAAGAACAAAGTGTTCTTCATCGGTAGAAAAAGTCTATTCTCTGTGAATCTATTCTGTGGTCCAGAGGACCCAGATGTCTCCCTGCTGGCGGGCCTGATCAGAACCACTATCACCTGGACGCAGTCCTGCAGTCAGGAGGAGATCAGCTTTCTCTATCAGCTGATGGAGCAGAACAACAGATGTTAGGAGGAATACGCCTGTAGCAGGAAAACATCCCATGATAATTCATTTCTGCAGTCTTTGGAAAATAATATCCTCTTTCTTTCCTCACGCATAGTTTGACCTGACCGACTTTTAAATGGTAAAAGGAGGAGAGAAGAGGCCTAAAGAGAAGCTTTGGTGTCAGAGCGGCGTAGTGGCTGCAGACTGACTGCAGGCGTGGGATCAGCAGGAAGCACCGGCTGTTCCACCGTCATGCGTCCTGTTCTATCAGTCACATGAAGCATCGCACCTCCATGCCAGTTTCTCTTCTTTCGTTAAACACAGACGCAGCATGTCAGGAAGCCTGGAAGAGCTGCAGCTCCATCACAGACCTGTAGAGTAAGCTGAGCAGATTTCTGGCTTCCAGTCTGCGGACATTTCCAGCTCATAGATAAAAAGAAATGCATATCATCAAAATTAAAATAGGAAACAAGGACAGTAATGCTTTCGTCTATTTTTACAAATCAAATGTAAACAACAAAAATCAAGTGTAAAATCCAGGAATGTCGCTCTCCTATTTCCTAAGATTGATTAAATTAATCAATAATAGTGTTTATTAGTGGAATCTGGTCATTTAATCTTCTCTGTCTCCTTCCATCTCTATCATCTTTTCTTTCTAGCTGACTTCTACCCGCTCTCTGTTTTCCTCTTCAAAGCATATTTTTCTTCCTTCTCTATTAATTGATCTTTCCATCAGTCTTCCTATTTTCCTCCGCTCTCATTCTATCTGCTTTCTATCAGTCTTCTAATCTTCTTCATCTCCTCTATCAGTCTAACACTAATCTAAAACAGGGACATAAAACAATCACAATCCCTTCAAAACACACACAATCTCATCATACGTGTTATCATTACTAAGATGATGATGATTATTGTTATTTTCTCATCTGATTAAATACTAAAAAGGTTAATCACCTCAATATTTGGAGCTACAAGTAAAAACAATCTAACAAATGCAGATTAAACAGGCGGCCATCTCTTCCTCCATCATTCTCAGATCATGCAGATCTTGTCTCATTCAGTTTTCCTGTCACTGCCTTTATTGAGGGAACAACCAGGAGAAGATGGAGGGATCTTTATTTCACTATGTAACAGACATCAACATTGATATCAATGTTAGAAAAAAATGATCAATACCCTAAAAAATGTGTATTTTATTCAACTGATTTCCACCATGACCCCCCCTGCAATTGCATAGGCCCCCACTCTGGCTAACAGGAACCTAAAGAAGATCACTGAGCTGTAGATGGTCAGTAGCTCCTTAAATATAGTAACTAATAAAAAGAAAGAAAAAAGGTAGATCTACAGGTAACAGATTGGGTAAAGAACGTCTGGGTCCCTTAGGGACTCCTAACATTGACCTAAATGCAGCCTGCGTTCTGCTCACAGGGAAGGAGAGGAAAAAACAGCCTTGGAGGCCTGGAGGATCATGTTTAAACATTCCAGCAGCAGGAACTTAATACATGCTGCAGCATCTGGTGACCTGCCAGATGCTGAGATAATGGATGCAGAAACAGGATTGTCTGAATAATTCCCCACAATCTGATTTAGCTTCTAAGACGGATTCCAGTCTAGGAGCGGATCAGAGCTGGATCAGAACCCGCGGGGAACCAGTTCAGTTCATGGCACCAATTCACAACAAGTCATCTCAGGTGACTTTACAGAGACAACAACAACTGCTGGTGGGAAAATGAGGCATGTCAGGAAAGTCACTGGTTTAAATGGATTTCTGTTGGATGTTTATGGGATGATGCAGCATGAAAGGCTGTTACTGGTGGAGGCCCACCTTCCACCAGAACTTCCCTTACATCAGCTGCTATTAGCCACACAGGAAATCAATAAGCTCTTATTTATGCTGATGGAACATGCCGCTCTGCAAACCCATGATGGCTTTAGGTGGAACTGGGTGCTGCTCTGTTTGCTTTGTGCTAAACTAACAACATGAAGCAGGAAGTGAGCAAAGCATCACGCGCTCAGCAGAGATCAGGGTCACAGAAAAGACAGGGGCAGCCTGAGAGCCTCCTGGAGGAAGAAATGAGAAGCTTTGCTACCAGAATCAGATTTCAGATTGATCGGCCTGAATAACGG